TACGTTCCCCAACCGCTTCTTTTGCTGCGATTTTGATATTTTCTCGCATATTTATTCAGCTATTTTCTATATCTTCTTCTTCTATTACTGACTTTTCGTTTATTTTGCTTTCCAATCTTGTTTGAGCACTCGACACCTTCCATCTAAAACCAAAATTATGGAAACGCTACGATGATACTTTTGTTATTTGGCCTGATGGTCAAGAATCCCTAGTAGATTTTCTTCGACATTTAAACTCTATACGCACTAACATACATTTTACCATTGAATTAGAAACTAATAATAACCTCTCATTCTTAGATATTTTTAAATTAGGCCTAACATTGGGTCGTTGTGTTTACAGAAAACCTACGCACACAGACCTACACACTGTCACCATCACCATCCGGCCCAAAAATCATCGGTTATCAACTCTCTTGTTTACAGAGCCGTGAAACTACCTCAACCCGAGTCACTGAACCCAGAATTGGAATACCTGGGATCTGCTCGTCCCTTTAATAATATCCGCAATTGAGATATTAAGCGTTCCTTCACAAAATACGCTTCACTACAACTTTTCAAAAACAATAAGTACGAAAGCAACCCCACACTTGCCACTGTGATCCTTCCTTACATCCAAAACATCACAAGATTTACCACTTGTCCAAAAATCTCTCAACATCTTCGGTCCGTCAAAGACAAAATTCCATTTGAGATGCAAGGAGTTTACAGCATTCCATGCATATGCGGCAAAGAATGCATTGGAGAGACCGGACGAAAAATATCAACTCGGCTCAAAGAACACAAAAGAGCCTTACGACAAAGACAAATAAACTGTTGCCGAACACACTCATGAAACCGGACACAAAATTTTATTCCATAAAACTAAAATTCTTATATGTAATCAGTTCTTCTACCAACAAAAAATCCGAGAGTCTATAGAAATCTATAAACAACCTAACAATCTTAACAGCGACTCAGGTCTCTACCTGTCACCAATTTAGCTCCGCCCCCCTTAAACAATATATAAGCATTCAAAACACCACTGACCACATATCAAAAGTTCTTAAGAAACATAACGTCAAAATCAGATTTACCACTTGTCCATAAATCTCTGAACATTTCAATCCCTCAAAGACAAAATTCCATTTGAGGTGCCAGGAGTTTACAGCATAGGCGGCAAAGAATACATTGGAGAGGTCAGACGAAAAATATCAAATAAACTGATCATCAGTTGCTGAACACAATCCCGAAAATGAACATAAAATGTTATTCTAACCTAACAATCTTAACCGCGACTCAGGTCTTTACCTATCACCAATGTAGGAAGCAGGTACAGAGTAAAATGCGAAGAAGTCAACAGGATGATTGGCGAAACGTTAGCATGTTGGTATTGCTGTGGTCTGTGGAAGTTTCTTTGAAAAATTAAACATAATGTTCATTGTGTTACATTCGGTGTGGACGTAGCTTAATACGTGTTCTAAAGTATAAAGCGCTGTGATTTTGAAATGGTTAGGCGAAAGTAGCCATATTTTCGACAAGGTTAGCTGAGTTAATTCGGCGATAGTCGCTACAATTGAGTATAAATAGTTTTTGATAGTTTTGCGTTAAAAACTGGCAAACGAACTTCCGCCAATGTATAAGGAAGCTTAAAATCAAAAAATATTCAAAGGATATATTATGTTGCATAACCGACTTTAAGAGCAAACAAACACCCACGCTATAGTAGAAAAGAACGAAATTGTTATAATAATAATAATGACCGTTTCGTTTTATGGCCGATGATGAAATTTACCGCGGTTCCCGATCAACCTCGAACCAAAGTTCATCCTCAGTATGCGGACCGCCTCGCAAACACGCGCCTGGATTTTGAATAGGACCAAATGTCAGATCGTTATTTTTCGTTTGTTTATCCTGCAGGAAGGAATCTGCACAAATCCGAACACAGAAATTCACAATCGCCTGTCCGGACGACAAATTCACAAAAATTCAATGACGATTGCGTAACAACTTGTGAAAACCTTTGTCGGTCGGGCACGTAGACACCTCGTGACTGTCGGCACGTCACGCCGTAGCATTTAAACGCGTAGCACAGATAAAGAGGAAAACTGACTTATTATTTATTATTAACAACAATAACTTAATAAATTAACCTTAAGCCCGTTTTACACGGTGACATTTTAGCTGCCATTTTCTTGCGCAATATAAATTTAATTAGTACGTGTAACACACAAATTGTGTCTTGCAGAGATAATTGCAAAAACATGATGATTTTTTTACGCAATAATGAGATTTAAGCAATTAAAGTCTTTATCTTCTGCTGATAACTCCTTAACCGGATGAAAATTCCCTCTAAGCTTCACATATATTATGAAAGCCCTTCAACTCCACCTCATTTCTGTTTGAAATGCCAGAAATTACAGCCCTTTCAATATAACTCAATTTATTAACCTCAATACTAGAAAATATTTCTAATTAAATTTTGTTGACAACACTAGTGAAAATAACTAAAATTGCATGGCAAGGCAAGGAAACTGGCAAGCCATTATGCTATTCGGGAAGACCCAATGAATTTTCGGTTGAGCAAATTTTCCTTTGGCTTATTTTCGTTCTGCCTGAATCCAATAAAAATAAATTTTGTATCCATACTTTTCCGTTACTCAAACATTCCCAAGGACCGACATAATATGTTTGTTCAAATTATATACCTAAAAACATCTGGACGAGCAACGACTGACAAAAAAAAAAACAACTCGTGGGTTCGTAAAAATATAAAGACTATATGTTCTAGACGGAGCGCTGTATGTAAACACGGCTTAATGTGTCGGCAAAGAGGAGATAGACGGTGACGGCGTTAAACATAAACACATCAACAATTCGTTGTATGGTTATGTAATATACTTATATCAAATATTTAATTGCAATTTCAAGGAAATTTTATTTGTGTTATCAAGTATTTAGCACAAAGAAAATCGTTTATGTCAATAATGAATTATGCCATCATTCAAAATATACATAAAAATGGGTGGGAATTTGGGTGCGAACTATTATAACATGTGTAGGAGCAATAAAAAAATGTCTTAGTCGGGGGTTCATACTGAACACAAAATTTTTTCGATCAAATACTATCAAACTCAACTACCTTGACAAAAATGTGGCGTATGGACCTTTGTTAAGGATGACGTCAAGTTGCTCAACTGATCTCCGTTATGTTTTTGGGTTGCTGGAGAATAAAGACCAAAATTATTATTATTATATCCAAATTCTTTCAAAGGATAGTCGGAACCAGCGTTGGGTAAAAACCCAATTTGTGAGATGCAAAATTTTTGTAATCCTTTTTTGGTTAGTTTTGATATATTGATAGCTATCCTGAATGGAGCAAGTGAATACGGCGAAGGGTAACCTACCTATTAAGTACTTAAAAATCACTCGTATTTGCTATAAGCAAAATATTTAATATTCTATAATTGAACATAAATGAAAGAATCTAAAAGAACTCATACTAGATTTCTGAAATTTAGTAATTTTCTCTCCAGTCAGTTTTAATTTAACGTATGTATATTGAGTACCAGGACTATGAATATGAAAAAGATACTTCTTCTTATCCGTCTACTCTCGGAAGGGAATGGTCACATCATGTCTCGATCATTGTGGTTGCCACCTTGCACCTTCGTATCATGCTTGTAGTTTTTCTACCCCTCTGCTCTTTTCGCTGTATGTCCAAAGTATCTGGGGTATGATTTTTTTTAGAGTTTTGTATTGACCTTATTTTGCTTTATACCGGATATGTGGTTCAGTGCTCTGTATAGAATATTCGTAACATTCTTCAGTCACCTCACATGTCAAAAGCACTTATTTTAATTCGGTTCACGGCTTTTAGCGCCCATATATCAGATAGTGATCATAAGATATGCCAAAACCACGACCAGAGAGATGAGAGTATTGCTGACGATCGCTGAGTTCGTTCCTCGAACAACCTGACCTTACCATAATAACCCATGGGGGTAAGAAAGAAACCAGAGTACAAAAACCTATGATCAAAAAATGCGAAAATGCTAATCATATGCGTTTAGAATATGATCTACATGGCGGTTCAATATTACCTTATAGAGTTTCGTTTCGTTAAAAAAAAAAAATGTAATAAAAATGAATGTTTTCGCACACAAATCTGTTGCACAAAATTGAATCAAAAGTTGGTGAACTCCAACAACAAGGCAAACAAATGGACGCGAGGAAACGGAAGAAACGCTTATCCAACAATCTCTGCTTCGTTAATTTAAAATGCAAATTAAGAAAACGTAAAGAAAAGCGTTTCAACGACCACCGGTAGATTTTCTTTCTTATTTTAACAATTCTGCTTGGGCGCTTAAATTAGACCAATTTAATATGCTGTTACGGCGACGGATGGGCCAATAAAAAATAATTGGCTAGCCCCGTTATTCGTCAGAGTATTTCGCGTATTATACGAAACTCCCGAGTCGCTACCTAAAATTCGGCCTAAATTAATTCTATATTTTGGAAAACATCCCATATCAAATATTTGCAATTTTTTTTTCTAATATGGTTAACATTTAGAAAGATAGATAGAATAATTTTTATTACATCCTTTGTTGCTCTTTTAAAGTGTTGTAAGTTCTAAAATTTTGATCATTTTGCAGCATACTCCACCTTTTGATTGCAACAAAGGTTAAGGATAAATTTGTTTTGCCGGTTTTTTATAACTTTTAATTAAAATTGTACATATCAATTTTTTTTCCTATTAATCACATTTGATTATTGCTCAGCCATGGTGTTATGTGGTTCCGTACTAAGCACTAAAGTTAAAAAATTATTTATGTAAAGCTGAAAACTTGCAATGTCTTTATTTTACTAGCGAAGTAGATATCCACTGATAAGTTCGAACACTTTCTATCAATTATAATAAACTTATTAAAGAGTTTTAAATAAAAAATGTTACATTGGAAAGCGAAAAATATTTTATATACCATTTTTAAGTCCGCGTAAACTAAATATAATCAACGATGTTTTACCGAGGTGACGTCATCGCGAAAAGTGACATCACCACCGACAAAGCTCCCGTCTGCCGTCCAGATTACTATGGTATTCCGGTAATAGTCAACTCGGCTAATGAAAATCTGGCGCAATATTTATTTTCGTGTTTCAATTGTAAATCTCCACGACGTGTCCTTGTCTTTTGTTTGCTTATTGATATTGAATTTCGACAGTTTTCGTTTCGTAAAGTCTGCTTCAGAAATTCAGAAAAAATGACGACTACGTTAGCAATGACACCAAGCGTATTCTTATGGCATTTGCCGGTGTCATGATTATGACATGATCGCCATCGTTCCTGATTTCGAGTATACGTCATAATTCAGTGACTTTGTTATCGTAAACATCCCAAAAATATGTTTATGCCATCTTTTTTCTACCCAAATCCCATGCTAATTTCCTCCAAATCGAAGAAATAGGTAACGCAAAGTTTAAACTGGGGCTAGAAGTCTACACCTACAGTAATATCAAAAATTTTTCTTGGGGAATCGTATACTTGAAAGTTGAAAGAAAGCAAAATTATTTTTTATTTTACTAGAGATTTCGTCAAAACAAATTACTTAATTAAAATGATATATATAGAAAGTTAAAACAATTACGATCTGAGATATTACCGAAAAGCGTCTAGTGTAGTGTTATTTTGGTAGGCTAAGAATTTTTTTTCAAAGAAATTTGCTTTTTTATTTCGATAACAATTATCCTGCGTTTCCTAGAGAAAAAACAGGGGGACTTGGGGCGCCACAGAAATAAATAGAACAAGGAAAAAAAAGAATAGGCTGATAAACACAAACACGTTCTATTTTTATTGATGTTTTATTATTCAAATTCAGTGTTGTTAAATGTGAAAAAATGTTATAAGAATTGATCATATTTAAGTTTAATAATACGGGCACAAATTTTAGAAACAACGAGGAAAAAGAGGATCGAAATTACAGAAATAAAAAAAAGTAAGTGGAAACAGGGATGACAAACACTTACGTCACAATAATAAAGAAAGACAGGTAAAGGTTACTTTTGTTCCTTGGAACCTACACATGCTGACCGCTAAGGGTGTGATTCCTCGAATGATTTTAACAAAAAAATTATATCAATGTAGACGCGCAATCGCTTTATTTTTGATATACAGAGCATTGGAAACTATCGCGAACCTAGTTTGATACCAACTATTTTTTCTTAAAATCAAACAAGGAATTGCTATTTTGCTATTTTATTATTTCAAGTTCAAACTAAAAAAACATCCTAAACACAGAAATTTTTAAGTTAAGTTTAACAACAGCTTAATTAAAATAAAAACTAACTAGGAATCGACTTCAATAAATATTTTCAAATTGCAATTTTTTGACTAGTCGATACGCTCGCTACTGGCAATTCTCCAATAAAACTTTAAGCGTTGATAACTTTATTAATTAAGGTTTCTCCACATCAAGATACCACCACCGTCTATGCGTCCAAGAAACAAGTCCAGTTGGCTGACGTCCCACCCAACATTTTTCCCGAAACTTGCAGTCGCCAAACCGCACGCTCACATAACTCGCCCAAAAATAGCCCATTTTAACTATCGAACATAATGGAGACTGTCGAGAATATCGATTTGATTCTGCTTGGTTTTGATTTTATTCAAACATTGTTTTGTTTCATTTTTTTGCTTGCCAAATCAAAAAGGAAAGCAGGAAATGCGCAACGGAATCATCACGAAATGTGTCACTGCGTTACTCACCGAGAAAGAGATCCTCAGGAAAACCGATGATTCACCAACATGGAGTCGAACGATAATAAAATGGATTCTCGGTGTCTTGTTTTGTGGTCAACTACACGATTTGCAACCTTTGCTACTTGCTTTAAGAGAAAAAAATCGAAAAATGAACTAAAAAAGATTTAATTGATAATTTGATTTATGATTTAAAAATAATAATACAACATAGAAAAGCAACGTCCTTGTGCCATATTTAATCTAATATTCAACATAAATATATAATACAACATACTACAACTATCAACTAAATCTAGACTACTTAAACCAGCATGCAATGGGAATACAATGTTTTAACTTATTGCCAAAGAATTATTCAAAATAAAAAAAAAAACAGAAAATTAAAAGTGAATGATGAAATCAACCAAAGATAATTTTATTTTTCAATTTAAACTTCTTAAATAGTAATTTCGTTTTCGGTTGTGAACCAGCGATTTTACGGACATTCCAATTTTCAGATCTTCTTTGCTTAATTTAACATGGAAAAAAGCCCTTTAGCAACATCATTCAGCTTAGAACCCTTTTACGGAATGAGTGATGGTGGGTAGAGAACTTTTTGCTCTTTTTGTATTGACCGCTTATTCACCGTCTCATTATTCTTATAATTTAACTCAATTTTGTTTGAAATTATATATTGTTCTGGTATGGTTGCACACCCAAACGGACATCAAAGAATAAAACGGATGATTGTAGTCCAATTTAAATTAAAAAGATTTATACTGTAACAAATAATTTAATCAAAACTTATCAGTGCACGCGAGAAAAGAATTAGGGATAGGGATTTTAAATAATTAAAACCAATTATATGTTACACCTCTTCTATGAAATCAATATACGTAGTCCCCCTTCTAGTCGCTAGGTGGAACCACAGCTTTAAAGCAGAGCCAAAAAACTGTGGAATAACTTACCATGCACGGTATATTCGCCATCTATGGTCTTAACCTGATTCCTTTTTTTGTGCTTTGGTGGCACATGTTCATTTTTATTCGGCGTCCGTTTTTTCAGCCTTTTTTTAGCGTTTTTGTTAGAAATGGGGAAGTACAAACGAGATTTACCTTCCCCATCATCGGATGAAGAAAAAATCTACCTACGGCGAAAGATTAAATCTTTCCGTCGGCGATTACGTAATCGCGAGTGGCGTGGTTCTCGATCAACGAGATTTTCTCTTTCGGAGACGACGTCTTCATCGTCCGGGTCCCGATCGGAATCTCCAGAACTCGAAAGACCGCCCATCTTTCCCACTCACACGACAGCCGTCGAATGTAATTTTATATTTTTTCGACATCGAAAAAATAGAGTTGTCTGGTTTGTCCGGCTATGGATGAACTGCCTGGGAGACGGACATATATTGAATTTACCTAGTCTAACGTAAGTATGTTTTTTAGGCTCTTCAATTAATTCTGAAGTCATAGTTGAGCCCCTCGAAACGGATTTAGACCAAAGTGTCCTCCAAGCTCTGGGGTCCATAGTCCCAACACAAAGTTCGATGGGCCAGCCGCTTCATGACATTTTGGTAGGGCAGATTAATACCTTTTTAAAGTCCGGTGTATCAGAAGATTGTCTCAGTGACCTTTTGCGTAAATATCCAGTGCCGAAGAATTGCCCCCTCATTGATCCTCCAAAATTGAATGTGGAGATGAAGTCTGCCATCAACGAAGGTGGCAAGAAAAGGGATGAGAGACTGATGGCAAGACAGAAGGAAGTAGGGGTTGCTTTGACGGCTGTTGCTAGGGCACTCTCGACCTTGCTTTTCAAACCGGTTAAGGATGAGGAGTCCTTACTCCTCATCGAAACCTTGAGTAATGCAATATGTATTTTAAGCAAAATACACCATTCGGATTCCATGTATAGAAGATCGGCTGTGTTAAGCCTTTCGCTGGGCCCAAATGGACTGCAGCGATGCATGAAGGAGGCGCTCGTTAATGCTTCTTTGGACTGTTTCTTATTTGGAGAAGATTTGTCTGACACGCTGAAATCAGCAAAAGCCATTGGTAGATCAGTGGCAGATTTGAGAGCAGGTGCATCCAGAACAAGACCTTTACAGCATAGGGATTTAAACTCGACAGGCCCACTTCGTTCTCGGAAGATCCAAGGCCGAAGTGGGCGAAAGTCATCATACCCTCAAAAGAGCGAATCCAGGAAGGTTCGAGAAGAGGGGGGGAGGAAGTATGTCCCCAGAAGAAAATAGTAAGTACTTTTGCTGGAAGATTGCACGAGTTCAGGGATGTTTGGAACTCTATAACTCAAGATGTACAGATTTTATCTTGGTTGGAAGGTTATGAAATCCCATTTGCGAGGCCAGTTATACAGGACTTCATTCCGACAAATCCTGTTTGGTCCCAACAAGAAAAAGATTCGATTTATAATGAGGTTAAACACCTGGTAGATATAGGTGCTATTGTAGTTTGTGAACCTTGTAAGAATCAGTTTATTTCAAACATTTTTTTGGTTCCAAAATCGGATGGTTCGGTTAGGTTAGTGTTAAATTTAAAGAAACTGAATGCTTTTATTGACACTTGTCATTTTAAACTTGAAGATAGAAAGATAGTTGAAACACTCTTAACAAGGAAGTCCTTTATGGCCACTTTGGACTTGAAAGAAGCTTACTTTCTAGTTCCAATAATTGAAAATCAAAAGAAATTTTTAAGATTTTATTTTGATTCTGTCTGTTATCAGTTTAACGTTACCCTTTGGTTTATGCACAGCCCCCTGGGTCTTTACAAAATTAATGAAACCAGTGGTTTCTTATCTCCGTGCCAAGGGTTTTCTCTCAGTAGTTTATTTAGATGACTTTTTACTACTTGGTAATCAAATTAAGACTTCAGCTATAAATAAGGCTCAGCCTGTTTTAATTTTGCATAAATATGAGAATGTTAATCTTCGTGTGGCTTCAACTGTTCTGTTTTATATTGAGAGGACCAGTGCTTTAAGAGGGGGTGAATCTCGTTTGCTTATTACATTTAAAAGGCCTTATAGGGCGGCAACTAGAGCTAGCATAAGCCGGTGGATAAAGATAGGTTTAGAGAATAGTGGTGTGGACACATCTATTTTTACTGCTCACAGCACTCGACATGCTTCAACATCGTCTGCGTTTCGTAAAGGTATTTCGATTGATATGATTCGGAAAACGGCAGGTTGGTCAGAACGTTCTAAATGTTTTGCCCTTTTTTATAATAGACCTATTTGTACAGCCGGTGCAGGCTCTTTTGTTAATGCCATATTTGCGACTTAGAATTTATTTTTCAGAATTTTTGTGTTTTCTCGGACAACCATTTAGTTTGTATTTTTACTAGAGGCTTTCATAAGTTCCGTAAAGTTTGGATTTTTTTTTTATATGTTTTTTATATGAGTTGCCTTTGAAAATCTACGTATATTGATTTCATAGAAGAAGTGTAACATATAATTAGATGATCAAACGAACTTACCTGGTAAGTGAAGTTCGATCATAATTATATGTTACACCTCTTCGTAGAAATCACCCATTCCCGCCCAATGTACTGTTCCGAACAGTACTAAAATGCCCATTGACAAATTTATTAAAAACGGGCTTTAAAATAGAATGAGGTTAAGACCATAGATGGCGAATATACCGTGCATGGTAAGTTATTCCACAGTTTTTTGGCTCTGCTTTAAAGCTGTGGTGCCACCTAGCGACTAGAAGGGGGACTACGTATATTGATTTCTACGAAGAGGTGTAACATATAATTACGATCGAACTTCACCTACCAGGTAAGATCGTTTGATCATCTAATTTTCAATCATAAACAAAAACAACAAAACTCGTTTGTTCGTTAATATTTCTAATTATTTATCTAAACTTGAAAAGCGAACTTCTTCGTTGAAAAGAGGTTGCTTGAATGTCGGCCGATTAAAATTATTAAATAAAGTTTATATGAAATATATAATATACACTAGATAACCAGATTGTAATTTTGAGTTCAAAAAAATACTGAGAAACCAGTTTTTAGCATAAAATAATAAAGATAAAAACATGTCCAAATCAAATCACAAAAATTGAATTTGTTAATGAGGATGCACTTTTTCAAAAAGGTAGTTTCATAATTGAAATTTTTCACTAGCTCTTTCACTGAAAATAAAAATAACGAAAATACATTGGGATACGGGATTCCAATAATAAAAGTAGGAAACAAATTTTCCGTAAAAAAAATAATAAAACAGAAAAGATCTGAGCCAAATGAATTAAATAATGACACTAATACTACTACAAACTTGAAAGTTCAATTCAGAGAAACAAAAAGGATAAGGGGGTTAGACGTAAATTTTGTTTTCGTTGACTACGATAAATCCAAGAAACAAAAGCATTTAGGACTATTCTGAAATTTTTTGAATAGCCTTTATTAGATTATTTCAATAATCCTAATGTCGCCTTTAAATTAATAAACTCGGGCGACTACGAAGTTTATTTATTAAAAGCAACCGGTTGATTAAATATGACCCAAATTACACAGTTTAAAAGAGCGACACCGCGTTGCCAAGTTGAACCAAGTTTCGAGAAATTTGAATTTAAAACTTCGTTCATTGAGCGAACCAGAACTATAGGATGATCACCAAACTAACCAAAATTTCTGAACATTTAAGATTACGAATAAATTTGCTTTTCTTATTACTAAAAACTAGCCAATTAACGCAATTAAGATATCGATGGTCTAGTGAACAAATGTTGTAAGTAAAAAATTCACAATTTTCAGTATTCGAAAAATGAACTTTAGGTGAAGTATAGAAATAGTTTTCTGGTTCTTAATACATTTAAAAAATGGATTTTGGGGGTCTGAAAAATATTTTTATCATTTACCACCTTTGTACATGAAAATTATCCCCTTAGCCAACGCTCAATATATACTTCAAGAAGTATTTCTTTTAAGCAAACGATTCAAATATTGGTGATCAATAATATGGAATACCAACACATGGTTTATTTATATAACTATAATTATTTATTATACTATATAAATTGGAACTGATTATTACTAGCACTGCTAACATTTCACTGCACAAAAGTTATTTATCAAAATATTTCCTGTGCATATTGCTTGTGCTTTAAATGAGCTGTGGACATATACGCTAACCGAAAATGATGTTATGTCCTCAGCTCCTCTGAGTTAGCCCCCCTGGACTTTCATCTTTCATCTTGGAAAGAAGTACCAGTACGATGATTATAAATTTTGCTCATTTTCACTGAAGAACGTCAATAAACCTAACTTAGATTTAATTTAAGTTCTAACGTCTGGCTATTCAGTAGACGACACTGCTGCTGACTCTACGCTAAATGAATTAAACTGATCCGAATAAAAAATGCGATTGCACTTGTTAAACCTGCAGAATCGAACCAAGCAGCGGCAGCGTTGCTTAAACTGTTCTTTGACCCGTTACAACATATTGAAGATAACATTCTTTGACTTTCTTCCTCATACGTTCACTACGGAGACGCGTATTACGCTCGTGTTGTAATTTATTTGCTTTGATGAGGCCTTTTATCGGTAGAATGTGAAATAAACGTACGTTTATTTTCTGTCAGCGTACGCGAATATGTTGGATTGGCGAGATGTAGAAATACGCGTACACTAACAGAGCTCTATTCAAGAAATCGCATTGCTCAACGTCGAAACTGTAATCATCAGCACCCATTGGCACCAGATTTATGACCCGAGATTCTATAAACAGAACCGTTTTCTTTCTTGAGATCCAATCACGTACCGACAGTTTGTTTAATTGAGGTTTGCGACGGAGTTTGAAAACTCGCTTACAATGTATTATGTATTATTATATTTATTATATCATTAGATCATTCAATGGCTCATATACAAAACATGTATTTAAAAAATGCAGTACAAATACTACTGAGGATGTAGATCCCGTCAAAGATAACAACAATCCTTTAACATTGGAACGCTGAACAACAAAGTTAAAGTTAGAAAAAATCTTTCAGAGTGCTTTATGGCTTCATCAGGCGAACCTCATGGAAGCAACTTGGGACTTCTTTTGGTTGCCATTTTTGCTGTACCAGATTGAATTCTTTAACAGTCTGTTATTTGCAGATGACTCTAAATTGTTTAAGATTACGAATGTTGAAGCTTTACCGAAATACCTAAATATGACTACGAAGTGGTTTAATGGATTACAACCTTAAGCAATGCTCAGGTCTACATCCAATATTACAGTTCTAAGGTTTATAATTAGAAACTATTTTGAGATTCGGCTATATAACGCCTTGGTCAAACCACATTTAGAGTATCCCTGTGTTGTTTGAACACCACGTTAATTGTGATATTATTCAAAAAGTTCGGAATGTTTGAGTTATATATAAAAGTATTCTACGATAATATATATAGTAATTGGTAAGAGAGTCTGTTATAAATGTATTTAGGTGTCAAAGAATTTCTACTAGTTTAAAGTCCTTTTTTGGTGCAGATATTCCTTTTTAATGTACATAAGTCAGTATGTATGTTTCTTTTTATTCTAGATTTATCAATTTAAATTTGATGAAGCACTCTTGTATTGTGAGTATCTGTTGGTGTGTGTGTTGGTATAACTGAATAAATAAATAACAAGTTTGATAAACGCAATTTTAATCACGAGTTTGATTTCATTAACGAATCACTGAAGAAGCTTATCAAAGTGTTGCGTACTAATCTATTTCTTGGTTACAATTTTATAAAACACATTCAGATATATTCACTGAATGATTAGTGAAGTGACCTTGAGAACTGACAAACAATAAAATCCTTGGCTAAAATATACCGAAAACATCCTATAGCTCCCAAACCAGTGTCTAAAGTGACTGAATGTCCGAAGTGTCTAGCGACAGTGACACTTTCCGAACCCTTGATCAGTGCACAAATGGGTAGGAACTACAAAAAAATAGCCAAAAAGATTGTCACTTACCAGATAAAATTCACTTAAATTGTTAGAAGCTCGGCCTATAAGATATTTTTTACTCTTAGTTAATTTAGATGGCTGTCCTCAATGTATAATGTATATTAAGATATAAGAGAAATCTTGTACGGGAGGGTGTGAATTACAAAGCTATCTGAACAATATTTAGCTTTTTTAGTCAAACAGTTTTTTACTCGGGAAAGTAATAATAATGATTATCGTGAATGTGTTTCCAAGATTAATTGTCCTTTAGATATAGAATTTGATAGGTTCTTAGCTGTGTGCACCTCAAATATCAAAAAACTCTGTGCTCTTTGGTCACTTTCAGATGATGTCAAAGACTCCAAGGATGTTGATATTTTTTTCCTTAGCCCTGTTCCCTAGGGAAGGTATACAGCCAGAATCTTCCAGGCTCAACACAGCACCCGAGGCTCACGGTGGGAACCGAACCCGATTATTATTGTTGAAGTATTATTTATTTTGTTATATTTAGAATATTATGTGCCTGAGTGGTATTTTTAAATAATAATATCGAGTATCGGCTATTCGACATAGAATGCGGCTATAACAGAGACGAAGTTATGCTTTTAAAACAAACAATTGTTGTTTGATACAGGTATCTGCATTCCCCGTGATCCGATAGGACTTTCAGAGAGAGTGTTTAGTTTGATGCGATAGTTAAATTGTACGGTATTGCTTTGGCCGTATCAAATTTAAAAGGTATATACACATTCGTGAAATCCTCCACGTTTTATTTTTTAATCTTACAATTTACTTCTAAAAATTGGTCCACAGCATAGGATAATGTCAAACATAAAATGTATAAAACATTCTAAACTAAAAAGGTAATTTAAAAATGAGTTATTGACTTCAAAAAATTGGATAAATCAATAATGAAAAACACAAGAATAGCACAATTGACAAAGACAGCAGCTGCGACCGTACGGAGCAGTAGATACCCCACAATCGAGGTATAAGCCGCTCTAAGTCGTCCATTTTACCATTTCGAATGCGTCGGAACGCTTTCTTGCCTAACCTACAACCTCAGAGATCGATAAATTTCGGTGCGTAAACTGGGACGCAATATTTTTAGTCCACAACTCTTGTTTGTCGTTGCCCAACGTTAGCGTTTGACCTCGTTTTTTTGTTTAGCAGGAAATCAAACTGTTTTCTAGGCGAACGCCGACGTTGCCGCGCGTTTCAGGACGTCGCGATCGAAATTGATCGTTCTGTCATGTACAATGGTTTATAATGTGAGTTCGGTGTATTTTAAAAATGAAGAATCAGACAAAAATAAAAAAAGAGTAATACAATCCAACAATGTACTGTACGTTGCCGACAATTTTTTTCAAACTGATTTCAATCCTCTACGGCTCTAAACAGTGCATATGCATCGAGGTGCATCTTGGTCGCCATCAGCTTGAAGAATTGATATTTAGAATTTCTGGTTCATCTTTGTACTATCTAAGCAACCTCATGCATTCTTCTGAATTCCCATATTTCGAAAGCCTCCAGTCTATCCATGACATTCGCCTTTATTGACCATCAGACTCTCGTTCCTGAGGAGAGCTCTCACGTTTATCCATGCTGCTCTGGTCTGATCGATTCTACGGCGTATCTGTTGGAGACATGTTCGAGATTGATTCGGTCGAATAAGCAAATCTACTCACTCGCTTGTAATTAATAGGCACAAGTTGTTCAATTAGGTTGGGTTCCAGAGGATTTAGAAGCATTGCTGTTTCATCTTCGACTCCAAATTTTTCAAAAACCCCAAATCAATACTGTTGCATACATTTGGGGCCACTCATTTTCTATGTTGGATAAGCTTTATCATTTCTAAAAACATCGACAAGCGATTTTTCGCAGACTTTCATCAAACCGAGAATGATAAGACAAAAGAGCCAGATCCCGAACAGAAAATTTAGCAGAGGAAACTTTGTTGACGAAGAAAAAAACTGGGTAATTTGCAAATTAGCGTCCAATGATATCTTCAGCTGCTCCTGAAAGACTCCTGCATCCACGAAATACCGTATTTCTCAAGCAACCTCAGCTGTAAGTTTCCTTCACATCTCAATTTAACCCTATACGCATCACCTCCATATAGTAACGAATTCAATAAGGATCTTTTGCGTCGAACTAAATCAAATTTACGACTCCAACATTGCCCATACATAATACATGGTTTCGATTGGCTGCAAGACGCTGTCGAGCTTTATCAGCGAATCGTTCGCCATATAGCAAACGACTACTTGTCGGCCTGTCGAAGATATGAGCACTGCAGAACACCCGTCTGTCAAGAAACGCGATAATATTACGCGCCAATGATAACGCTGAACGCCAGCTGTACCCTTGGATTTATTAGGAGAAAAAGTCACCCATGAAAATTTTCAGTTCTGTTTTTTGTTACTGTTGCATTTGAAGTGTCATCTTACTATGATATATTAAACATAACATGTTCTGGTGTTCGCATTCTTTATTAAAAACTTATCCCGAAGGAAAAAATAATCTAAAAGAATCTAGATTTCAATTTCTTTTCTCGAGTTTATAAATGTTATAATACACGGCCTTAGTCCATCCTATACCAAAAGCAAAACAAATCACTGACAACATGAATAAGATACAGCACGCTATGTTTGACCGCATGACTATGGACAGGACTAAGATTTAGACTGGATGGAAGTCGCGCATGAAGATTTTCAGTTCTGTTTTGTTACCGTTGCATTTGAAGTGCCATCTTACTATGATATATTAAACGTAATGTGTTCTGCTGTTCGCATTCTTTATTAAAAACTTATCCCGACGGGAAAAATAATTTAAAAGAATCTAAATTTCGATTTTTTTTCTCATGTTCATAAATATTATAACACAACTATCCTATCCTATCCTATACCAAAAGCAAAACAAATCATTGACAACATGAATAGGATATAGCACGCTATGCATGATTATGGACAAAAATGCACAGCACTACATTTGAAATACATTGGTTATTTTCCGTTTGTAATTTCAAGAATTGATGAGAAAAAAATTGTAATTCTATATTTTTAAAATTTGATGATTTGATCTCACTTGTGTCACCGCCACATCTCTCTCTCTCTCTAGAATCCCTCCATTAGTTATTAGATCTATGCCTCAGTTGTATAAAGAGTATTAATCCAAATACAAAAGACGTTTAACATTTTGACAGCGCAATTTGACATTGGGGCATTGCTAAGGTTATTGTATGCATTTGTAGACGTTACTTTTTGCTTATAACGTGTAAATGATCTCGCCAAAAAAGAGTAACTTTTATGGGTGAAGAATGAAACATTTATTAAAGGCATTAAAGGCAGAGACTTCTAGAGAATTGTTCACTTCGTCTTTATTGTTTGGACAAGAGCATTTTTACATATCGCATATCGGCAACATCGCACAGTAGTAAAATAACAAAGGCCATAGACGCTGGGAATGAAATGATTTTCAGCTGGGAATTGCAAAAAAAAATTCACAAGCCGGAGCGTAAACATGGCTGATAGCGCATTCGCGGGACTTTTATTGTCCGGGCGAACGCGAAAAGTTTCGAATTGAAAAGAAATACGAAAAAAATCGTTGCCATGAAATTTGATTGTCTTCTTCTTGATGTCCAAGTACTGGCTTTTTAATGCAAAAACGATCAGGTTTCGTTTATTGTCCACCAAGAACAATAATATAAAACTATAGAAAAAAAAGATAAAAATAAGGAAAACTGAGATCAAACCGTGTACAGGATGACATAGTACAGAAAACTTAACATATTATGATGCAAATTTAACAATATTCTTACTTACTTACTATATAAATTTGTAAAATCCACCATCATGGATTATTTTCTACCATATCTATAGATTCCAATTTAATAACATAATATAATTTTACTTTTTACAAAACTTCTGGATTCATCCTACGTCGGTTTTTGCCGCCCCGGGACCAGACGGCATCACAGTGATGTCAGTAAAGAATAAACCCGACTTAACTCTGGCCATATTATTCAACTCCCTCCTCCTGCGAAATATCATCCCCGCGGCATGGAGGGCCTCGAGGACGGTCCTTGTCCCCAAAGAGGGTGATAGGAAGGACCCAACCAACTGGAGGCCAATAACGATTAGTTCCACTCTACACCGCCTCCTCCATCGTGTATTGGCAGACAGACTGAAGAAGGCCACGAAATTACACGCAAGCCAGCGTGGCTTCGTGAATATGGATGGCACATTAGCCAATTTTCTAATCCTGGGGCACTACATCGCCCACAGGACAGACTCCCGGAAACCATTCAACGTTCTGTCCCTGGACATCAGGAAGGCGTTCGATACAGTGTCCACCACTCCATCCGCCGAGCCCTAGATGCGAACTGTATTCCGGCCGCATACTCCAAATTCATAATGGGCGGCCTAACTGGCTCCAACGAGAGGTGTTAAACAGGGCGATCCTCTGAGTCCATTACTATTTAATATGGTTTTGGACGAACTTATTTAGACACTCTCCACCAGAGGAAACATAGGTGGATCGCTTGACACCAACGGCGACGTCAAGTGTCCAATAATGGCGTTCGCCGACGACCTCATTATTCTGGAGGACGACGAGTCCAGATTGCCACTCTTACTGGCTGAAGTTAACAGCTTCTTCAGTCGAAATTGCTGACGTTTCGCCAATCATCTTGGCTTCTTCAAAGCTTGACTGAAACTGGCTCGTATTTTACTCTGTACCTGCTTATACACCGTCTCGGATGACTGATTCCCAAATTGGTGGCAGGTAGAGACCTAAGTCGCTACACCGATACCTTAATGCACGGTCACATCACCATCCGGCCCAAAAATCAGCAGTTCTCTCTTGTTTAGAGCCGTAAAACTGTCTCAGCCCGAGTCACTGAAAACAGAATTAAAACACCTTACCTCTGCTCTTCTCTCTAATAATTTCCACATTAAAGATATTAAACGTTCCATCAAAAAATACACTTCACCACAACCTTCCAAAGCAATCTTACACTTGCCACTGTGGTCCTTCCCTACATCCAAAACATCACTGAGCACATATCAAAAGTTGTAAAGAAGTATAACGTCAAAACCAGATTTACCACTTGTCCAAAAATCTTTCAACATCTTCGGTCCGTCAAAGACAAAATTCCATTTGAGATGCAAGGAGTTTACAGCATTCCATGAATATGCGGCAAAGAATGCATTGAAGAGACCGGACGAAAAATATCAACTCGGCTCAAAGAACACGAAAGAGCCTTACGACTAAGACAAATAAACTCATCAGCTGTTGCCGAACACACTCATGAAACCGGACACAAAATTTTATTCCATAAAACTAAAACTCTATAAACAACCTAACAATCTTAACAGCGACTCAGGTCTCTACCTGTCACCATTTAGCTCCGCCCCCCTTAAACAATATATAGGTACAGAGTAATTTTTTTTTCTCAAAGAAACTTCCACAGGCTACTGTAATTCCTTATACTTCTGGATTCCTCCTGCGTCGGTTTTTGCTTAGTCGAAATTGCTGACGTTTCGCCAATCATCAGTATTGCAAAAAGTATAACAGTAGCGTGTGGAAGTTTCTTTGAAAAAATAATATAATTTTATTATTATTTTTGTGAAACCGCATTACGAATTCTAATACATAAAAAAAATTGTAACTTTCTTGTTTGTGTGTTTGAACAATACGAAGCATTGGGTAAAATTATCTTTATTTGTCCTGTTATTTTTACAGAGACAATTTTGAAATATACACAGCATGGCTAAACATGCGAGCTCTCCTAAGAAGATTGTTATTGTATATTGCTAAATCTTGAATTTAACATAGCAATTTTAACTTTTTTATAGTGAACTTATGCAACGTAAGTGAACACTTTGTAAATTAATTACGCAATAAAACAAGGCGACATTACAAAAAATATGAATATATTTATAGTTAATATTAATGCGTTTTTAAACCAAATTTATGTAGACATGTATAATTCTTGCAACCTAATATTAAAATTCACATTTCTTTTTCAATATTATTATTGAAACTTACATTTCTTTAGCAAAATTAATATTGGATTATATTAATTTTGAGAAATTATAAGTGAATTTTACAAAGTGTATGCAATTTTATTTTTAATCTACACAATGAAT